ATTTCAACCTCGAAAGCACAATCCGCGCTGAATTGGGAAACGTTGGGTGGGCGGAGACAGCTAGTAGCCGCGCAATCCTCATTGGTGCACCCCTCTACTGACTGACTCCCTCTGCCCATGTCTCCATAGTGCACTACTTAAATCGATAAAGTATTTGTGGTTCTTTCATCCTCTAACATAAATACGTACTTGTTGACCCATCTGGTTGTATAGTGTCCAAAGTATTGAGCGGATATGCCGAGCAGGTCATATCAGAGAAACGCCAGAACTCCTAAAATGGAACTGCTTGAATTTCAGCCTCTTCGTGACAGGACCTCAAGCTCTGCATATACTGTCTTACCACTTTCATCAGTTCCAACATTTCTTCGAAGATATGCTTTCGACCGAGTTTGGTGGCAAGAGTGAGCGGTGTGAGTCCTGCATAGTTGACGACATGTGGATCGGCCGGTTTCGCCCAATGACGTACCGCATACGAGTACATCGACTGTAATGGGATGGATTACTGTATTCAGGGTACAGCATCGTGATGTGTGAAATGGTAGTGTAGGTACGACCCTCAGCCCTCCGAGAGAAGAGTTTCGGTACGACCGCTCCCTTCCCCAACACCTACCTACCAATTTCCCACATTTTTCAGTCCAGTTGTTCACCAAAAATTTTCCGTCGAGCGGGCGGTAGGGCGGAGGGGGTGTACAGTACACATGAAACACGCAAAATTAGTCAACAACTGCGAAAAATTTCTTCCAAGCACGGCTAATTTCTCTCAAAGGCATGTACGACCCCCCCCCCTCTACCAGCAACGACCAAATACGCCTCCCCTCCCCAGCGGAAAGGTACGACTCCCCTATGTGTTTCACACAACGATGCTGTAACTGTAACAGATTCTCTTGACCCGCACCACAGTATAATACCGTCTATCGAAGACTGAGGTTTTTGTGACTAGGATTGGTCGCGCGGATTTTTACTGCATATTGACTGACTAGTAACTAACACTGCTGTAGCTGATGACACACATATGAAGTATGGTATTGCCGAAGGAGTCCTGTAAATTTGGATTTGCTCCATGCTGAATCAGCAAATCGTAGATGTCTTTATTGGCGAAACAAGCGGCAAACGCCAACGGGTACTCGCCATAGTAGGCATAACCTGAAAAAATATGATTGCGCTAGTATCCGTAAATCGAAACGAGTCAGTTTTTTTTGGAGTAAAGGAGACGACTACTTAGTTATCAATCACCAATAAGTTAACATTTACCTTGATAGTCAGTGACTTTGTTAGTTGCCTTGAAATCTTCGGGTAGGAAGAAGTTTCCGCAAGCACGTGCATTCACGTCGGCTTTATTCGCCAACAGTAGTTGCACGGTCTCGTAGTCGTCGTGCACAATCGCCAAATGCAGAGCCGATTGACCTTGAACAGCCAGTTTGACTTTTTTTTGAATATTCTTTTTTGCAGAGAAGTAGTCGTAGGACCCTATTCAAGAGAAAGCGGTTTAGTAGTAAATGGCAGTCGCGGACACTATGGGAGGGTTACATACTTGATCGAAGCCCACATAGGAAGCCATCCCCTAGGGGTCGATTAATTGGTACCGAACTTGTCTACAAGTATGAAACGACTCGTGCGCTCTTCATTGTCCAACTCTACCTTCTTTATGGTCTGACGTTGCTTATCTACCCAAGTAGATTGATGCAGAAGATATTCAACTATTAGTGGATTTCGAGTTAGGTTGCTTGCGGCAGCGTCTGCCAGCGTCTACCAGCGTCCACCAGCGATCACTAGCGTTCCGAGCGTCCGGCAGCGTCAGCGACTAGGAAATCATAGATATCGATCCAGCGTTTGCCAGCATCTACCAGCGTCTATCAGCGTCCACCAGCGACTGAGAGTAGAGAGTATGGGGAAGTAGGAGGGTAGCAAACAGCTGGATTAGGCGTCGTGAAATTGCGGCGTGTGCAACCGCACCGCACGGCTACATTACACCCTACAATAAACTGCATTATTCTGTGCTTTAGCGGTTTCACGACGCCTAATCCAGCTGTTTGCTACTCTCCACTTCCACATACTCTTTACTTCTGGTCGCTGATGAACGCTGGTAGACGCTGGCAGACGCTGGATCAATATCTGTACTTTCGTAGTCGCTGACGCTGTCGAAGGTACGGAGCCAGGGTACAGCATCGTTGTGTGAAACGCATAACGGGTCGTACTTTTCGGCCGATGAGGGGGTCGTATGTGGGCGTTGTTGAGAGAGGGGGGGGGTCGTATGTGGCTCTGACAGAAATTTGCCGCGATGGGGAAAATTTTCCCCGGTTGTGACAGTTCGCGTGAGAGCGTGATATGTCCTGTTTCATGTGTAGTATTTACCCCCTCCCCCCCCTCCCCTCCCCGCTCGACTCAACACCAAAATTTGAGCAAAATGCAGCGAGAATTTTCAGAAAATTCGAAAATTCACAGCAGAATAGAAAAATAGCTCGTGAAACTTTCCTTTGACGACACTGCTATATACCCCCCCACCCACTCGGACTCCCACCATTCACATCATCCGATGCTGCACCCTCGTCGGAGCGTAGGGTCGTGGTTGGAGGAGAGCTAGTGGTCGCTGGTAGACGCTGCCGCAAAGTATGAACGCACTGTCTCTCACACTTACCGAGCTAGTCTGCTGACCATTCTATCACCAGACCTTCTTCCAAAGGGCCCTTCAACACGGTTCAATAATTAATAAATAATTTGATACATGTTTGGTGGCGCACACTGTCACGTGCATCACAGAAGAACCCAAAGAAGCTTACCACTAGGAATTGGACATAGTTAAAAGCCTAATAAGCATGCCTAGATATTGATGCCAGGATTCGAGGGTAAAGAGGTTCACCTCAAGCCACTTCACAGAGCATCCGGCTAAAATCATGTTTTCAAATCTTACCGAACATCTCGTCACCCATGTAGATATCGTTGGCTAAGCCTGGATATCGTTTGAGTAGAATTCGAGCGATTTCGTAGCACACTTGTTCCTCCCTGAAACGAACGAAATGTTACCGTGTAATTTTACACGGACTATTTTTAGGGATAAAAATCGAGTGCCACGAATTAAACTCTTTATTTGTATCATGCAGTAACGTTTGTGAAATTTTAGAAGTATTTCGCGCGTACTTCAATGGGGAGCCCGCACATCAAAACTGCTTACAGTGAATCAAATTTTGGTTAACTTAAAAAAATCGAATGATGAGGCTGGACAAAATCTAACTTTAGTCTGAGCACGATATTGCTGAAAGTAACAATGCTGAAGGACGTCTGATCAGGGAGCGTCGTGCGCTGGGCATCCCATCTGGGTTCCTAGCTGCTTACGGGCAGAAAAGGGTCATATTCAGCCTGGAAAAATTTTTTGCGGTTCTTGATTTATTTTCTCATAAGCGCTATATTGCATTCCCATAATTAGCGCCGCGGTATCCAACTTAAGCCCTTCACAGCGTTACCAGAGCAGTTCCTGCCGCTTCGCAGATGTTTGGGAAATACAACCGTCCCCCATCTGAAAATTCCTACTCTGGTACAATAGGGATTGCACCCCCCCCGCACTCAACCCCTCCCCCTCCCACCAACATCCTCCTCAATTCTCTCCCAACCCTCGCTACTTTTTTCGGGAATTTTTTCGGGAAAATTCTAGTATTCCTCCAAAAAA